CAATATCCGCATTATTCAACGGTATTGAAACTCAGTGACATCGAGTTTCCGATGACCCTGAAACAAATCGCGCTATTCGAACGTCTTAATGAACTGTCCGTTAATGTGTTCACTCCTCAAAAAGGAGAAGGTGGACGAAAGAACACCACAGATATCGTTCCTCTGCGCCTCACCGACAACAAGAGAGACATTCGTGTGAATTTATTATACCTGACAACGTTATGACATTATAATGATGATGATAACAATACTCGCGTCACAGGTCATTTCGCGTGGATAAAAGATCTGTCTCAATTACTATCATCACAAATAAATCGAAATACGCGAAGTAAACACATCTGCGAAAGATACGGTAATATCTCCTTCTCCTTCTCCTTCNTCACCCGAGGAAACAAAAAATAAATTTTTTGAAATACACAAAATATATCCTTCTTCTTCTTCTTTTATCATTTTTCTTTTACAGATGTCTTAATTACTTCAACACGCGTGACAAACTGATCGCTCGCAGCGTCGACTGCGGCATCATGAACGATTGCGCCATCATATTGCCAGACAACGAGAACAAATGCCTCTCTCATCGCAATTACGGTAGAAAGGAACGCCTGCCATTGGTTATCTATAATGATATGGAATACATATTGGAAAAAAAAAGAAAACAACGAAGAGGTTCTCGTTGTTAATAGCGGCTCTTACGCGTATCAACATCACAAAGTGTTCAGCGTGGGCTATTATTTGTGCTACGCGCTCGACGACGACGACGAACTCGCTTCCGGTTATCACTTTCGTCGCGGAGACGACTGCGTCTCTTGGTTCGTCAACGAAATCGGCGCCAATGCGGAACGCGCGTTCGCGTTACTGTCCGAAAACATAAAACCTATGAAGAAACTAACCCCGACAGAGGAAGGCGATTTCGCCAGCGTCGACGCGCGCTGCCACATATGCGGAGGACCATTCGAATCGGACGACGACGACACCCGAATGCNGCGGAGCGTGCGTACGCGTTACTGTCCGCAAACATAAAACCTATGAAGAAACTAACCCCGACGGAGGAACGCGATTTCGCCAGCGTCGACGCACGCTGCTACATATGCGGAGGACCATTCGAATCGGACGACGACATTCGAGTGCGCGATCATTGTCATCTAACGAATCGTTACCAAGGCCCCGCGCACTAACGCTGCAATCTCAATTATCGCAATTCGCATATCATCCCCGTGTTCTTTCATAATTTATCGGGTTACGACGCACACTTCATAATCGAGCGAATAGCCAACTCGTTCGAGGGCAGCGTCGATCTGCTGCCGATCAACAAGGAAAGGTATCTGTCCTTCACGAAAAACATCAAGCGCGCATACGTCAAGTGGAGACAGCGGGTGAAACTACGTTTAGTAGATTCGTTCCGATTTCTCAGCACGAGCCTCGATAAACTGGCCTCGTTTCTCGACGAGGATAAACTACGCGCGACGCAATCGACGTTCTCGCATCTGACCGCGAGTGATTTTGCGCTGCTTATGCGCAAGGGTGTGTTTCCGTATGAATACATCGACAGTGCCGCGCGATTAACGGGAACCGAATTACCATCACGCGATGCTTTCTACAGTTCGTTGAGCGACGAAATCGTCAGCGAGGCCGACTACAAACACGCCGAGACCGTGTGGAGACGATTCGACGTGCGCAATCTCGGCGAATACAGCGATCAATATTTGAAAACGGACGTGATGCTGCTGGCCGATATCTTCGAGAACTTTCGCGACGTATGCGCCGACAGTTACGGCTTAGACCCGGCGCATTATTATACCCTGCCGGGCTACACGTGAGACGCCATGCTGAAACACACAAATGTGCGACTCGAATTACTGACCGACATCGATATGGTGCTGTTCATAGAGCGCGGTATACGCGGCGGACTTAGTCAATGCTCGAACAGATACGCGCGCGCCAACAATCAATATATGTCGGATAGATCGAGCAGCAGCAGCAGCGAGGACGCGTCTTACGAATCGTATCTAATGTATTACGATGTGAACAATCTGTACAGCTGGGCAATGTCCGAACCCCTACCTTACGGTGACTTTCATTGGCTAGACGATACCGATATCGCGCGACTCGACGTAACGTCCGTTTCACCGAATTCGCCGATCGGTTATATCTTGGAGGTCGATATCGCGTATCCGCGCGAACTGCACAATGCGTATGCGGATCTGCCGTTTTGCCCAACGCGCGAATGCCCGCCCGGTAAGCGTAGCCGCGGCAGCAACAAAAAATTACTGGCCACACTGCGCGATAAATCGCGCTACGTCATTCACTATCGATGTCTGCAGCAATGTATGGCACACGGACTCTCCCTGACGCGAATTCACCGCGTCTTGCGATTCGCGCAATCACCGTGGCTCCGCGGCTACGTCGAACTCAACACGGGCTTTCGCATCGGCGCTTCCAAAATGCGCGTTCGAAAATAATCTCTACAAGCTCATGAACAACGCGGTGTTCGGCAAAACTATGGAAAACGTGCGCGTACACCTGGACGTGCGTCTCGTGACGCGCTGGGACGGACGTTACGGCGCGGAGGCGCTGATCGCAAAACCGAATTTCCACAGCCGGAACATCTTTTCCGAGGATCTAATGGCCGTGGAGTTGCGCCGACTGCGCGTACAATTTGCGAAACCGATATACGCGGGCATGTGCATACTCGAGATCTCGAAGACGCGAATGTACGAATTTCACTACGATTACATGCTGCCGCTGTATCGCCACATCGACAATAATAATACTAATAATAACGAGTACTGTCGTCTATTGTACACTGACACCGACAGTCTAATTTATCACATCGTCACAAACACGAAGACGGATCCGTATGAGTGTATGCGGCGCAATCTAGCGCGATTCGACACGAGCAACTATCCGTCGGTCAATGCGTACGATATGCCGCGCGCGAACAAGCGCGTGCCCGGTCTTATGAAGGACGAAAATTGCGGCGCGATCATGAGCGAATTCGTCGGATTGCNGCGAAACCGATATACGCGGGCATGTGCATACTCGAGATCTCGAAGACGCGAATGTACGAATTTCACTACGATTACATGCTGCCGCTGTATCGCCACATCGACAATAATAATACTAATAATAACGAGTACTGTCGTCTATTGTACACTGACACCGACAGTCTAATTTATCACATCGTCACAAACACGAAGACGGATCCGTATGAGTGTATGCGGCGCAATCTAGCGCGATTCGACACGAGCAACTATCCGTCGGTCAATGCGTACGATATGCCGCGCGCGAACAAGCGCGTGCCCGGTCTTATGAAGGACGAAAATTGCGGCGCGATCATGAGCGAATTCGTCGGATTGCGAGCGAAGATGTACGCCTATCGGGTGGACGGTCGCGAGGACAACAAGATAATAAAAGAGGTGCACAGACACATCGTCGCACGACAAATCACCTTCGACGATTACGCGCAATGTTTGCGCGACGCGACGGAATGCACGGTCAATCGTGCATAAGATCCAGATTGCACGAAGTGTACACCGTGTCGGAGAGAAAATTTGCTCTAAGTCCGCACGACGACAAGCGTTACGTAATACCCGATTCCGCGAGCGGCGCGACTCTCCCGTGGGGACATTACAAAGTACCACCCGATGTCGCGTTTCTGCACATACAATTAAAAAAAAAATTAAACATATATTCTTTTGTTTTTCTTCTTCTTCTCTCATTCTCTTTTCTTTTTGTTCCTTCGCAAGGAAAAGAGAGAGAGAGAAAGAGAGAGAGAGAGAGAGAGAGAGAGAGAGAG